TGCTGTCGGTGGGTGTTATGGGTGACCCTAGTGTAAATGGAGTTACTGTCAATCATAGGTCAATGGGTGAAGTTGACATGCCTTACCCTCAGGACAGTAGTCATCTAGGGCACACTGCTGCTACCTCGGAATTGATCAGCAATGACACAGGAGAGGATAAAGAGAGCCGGTCTCGAAAAGGTTTGCCAGTGCATTAGACTGAAACCCTGAAGAATTTAAATAACCTATTTGTACAGTTCATGAATTGGGTGTTCTAATGGATATGGTGTACCGTCATTCATCAAACATTACTTTGCAGGGGCTGGAAAGGTTTGATAGCTTCAGGTTTGAGGGTGTTACTTCTATGATGTATAATCAAAATGGATTGGGGGAAGGAATTACTGAGAATTATAAGGAATATATTGGATATACTATGGATGTTGAAGCTGCTGTGTATCTGATGCTTGTCAAGGATCTCTTTCCTGGTCTCTTACGAGATGCCATAATCGTTTGCGATGATGTTAGATGGCTGCCAGCAATTTGTATACCTATTCCAGAGGGAGCTGCAGGTTTTGACCACCTGCTTCATATGGCTATTGCTGGTAATTGGGTCAGGATATTCTGGAAAAGAGATGAGGAGTGGGAAATGGGTGACAATGTTCACAAAATTACTATTAGAAGATGGAGAGAGAAGAGTGATGCTCATGTTGAAAGTCAGGACCAAGTTCCTGTGGGTGAAGGGGTTGTCTTAGTCCTGAGTGCCTTGGCAAAGAAATTGGTGAAAGATGATCTACAGACTAGTGCGATTGGAGGACCAATTTTTAATCACGCAGATGTCAAGTCAGGGATGGCCGTAAAGGGGTGCACAATTTGGTACTTTCTACAATTTGGGACTCTTCTTATTCTGGATTGAAATGGTCCGATGAGTTCGCTCATGTTAGCATTGTTGAAGGAAAAATTCAAGCACTAAATGAGTTTGGTACTGTTATCAATTTTAAGAATCATGATGATGATTTTAGACTTATTTCAGAGAATACCAAATGGGTGGAATCAGTGTGAATCTGGACACTACTATTCAGGTTGTTCAACGAGCAGTCTACACTTGTATTTTCTCTATGATGCAGTTCAAACAGAACGCTGATAAGAGGGATGTACTACTAAAAGTGGTGAGCTTGCTTGAGGATAACTTTGCTATGCTAACATGTATAATCAAGGAGTCTTTTCAATCAGTATGTATGGAAGTCCTAAAGAGGTTGACTGATAGAGCAGGTGAAGTTCAGGTGGGTGTCCTTGAAAAGGTTAAAGCTTGTTGGCTTGGTGATCCCTTTATAGCTGAAACTCCTCAAGTTATTTCTTGGTCAAACAGTTTCATTTTAGGGGTTTTTATTTGAATACTAATTTTGAACCAATTACAAAAAAGAGTGAGCACTTTTAAAAAGGGGCAAAAAGATGATCAAAAGGGTCATATATTTAGAAAAACAGTGTCTGCCAAATTTTATGACACTGTAGCTGCCGCTCATGTCACCGTAGCCACCGCCCATGTTACTGTAGCCACCGCCTGTGTCACTGTAGCCACCGCCTGTGTCACTGTAGCCACCGCCCATGTCACTGTAGCCACCGCCTGTGTCACTGTAGCCATCGCCCATGTCACTGTAGCCACCACTTGTGCCACTGACTCACTGTACCCACCGTCCGTGTCACTATAGCCACCGATGATATCACTACTATGATTGTTTTTCGTGGCCAGCCTTAGCCGGCTGCCACAATGGCGGCTGTCCCCGCAACACCGCGCCTGACTAACTGCCACCCCACTCCACACTCGCATTTAGCACATCACACATACACCCGGCATCCACCAGTCCTTCCACGATCACTATCTCACCCTCAGCCCTACCCCTGCCACTATTCCATAAATGGTTTCTTACACCTATATCATAATACTTTTTTCCGCAATTCTTCTAACACCTTTGGTGGAAGTCGAGTGAACCTAGAGCGTTCAGTAGACTGCCCGAACAACCCTGAATTTGTTCTTGGGGGATGCCTACTATCTTTAAATAGCTCCTTGATCCCCTTATGCTTTCACCACTCATAGTCGTGCTGTTACCCCTACTTGGACAAAAAAAATTGCCCAATTGCAGTTTTGTAGAATTGGCTTTCCCGACCTCCATCTTGAAAGGACAGATTGTCCTCAATCTCTGGCCAATTCCATTGCTATCTCCAGACTATTTGGCCGCAACAATCTTAAAGATCCACGAATTGGTCCTTTCAGCCCGTTCATGAAATACCTCAAAGTAATGATCATCAGACAGCCCGGGAATTTGGCTGGCCAACTGAACAAATAAGGTATTATATTCTTCCACTGTACCCATTTGTTTGACCCTAGACAGCAGTTCAAACCGACTGCCCTTGAACCGGGAGTCAAACCGAGCCACCACTGCTTGCTTGAATTCTTCTCAGACCATGCCCGGTTTCCGGCTTTCAACCAGGTCACCCAATATAGGGAAGCCCCTTTCATGGCAACCGTAACCGATGCCACTTTTCTTTGCGGTGGGGTCCTGTTTAGTTCTAACTGCTCTTCAACCCTAGGCACCCAACCGATCAGGTCTTCGCCATCGAATGAGGGAAGCAAGGCGAGTGCGGTGCTGCACGATCCACTGTTGCTCGTGTGCGCAGAAGCTGCGAGCGCTTTGGCGACAATCTTGGTCAGCTGGATGCCATGCCCCTCCAAGATAGTTGCTGAGAGATTTAGAAACAAATATGTCCTAGTGAAAAGATATACGTGGGAGAGGCTAGCTGATGCATCTTCATCAAAGCACCGTGAGACGGGAAGGCGGAAACTCATACGGAAGTGGGGAAGAACTTGCTTTGTGCTTAACCAGAGGTGGACACATTATTTTAATGAATAGCAGCACTGACAGTGTGATCAAATCTCAGCCAGTGCATCCAGAGAAGGATATTGAAAGGAAAGATCAAACAGAACAATCTAGTCGTGAGGAATAATAATAACAACAACAACAACAACAGCAACAACAGAATTATTATACAAAGTAATAAGTAATTGTGATTGTATAATAATAACAGTTCGGGGCCATGTAAGTCTTGATTGGACTGGCCCTTTTGTTTTATATAAGAATGGGAAGGAGGATAGGAGGCTGGAATTCAGTTTAGGATTAGACTGGGATAGTGAGGCCTACCAAAGAGGCTCAAACTTGTTATTTTCAACTTACGTTAATCTCTCGTTTCTACCATTGTAATAGGTTACTACCTTTTGAAATTTTCATCAATATAATACTAAAATTCTACTGCATTGTTGAGGTCTTAATCATCCTCCACTGAAAACCCAATTTAGTCTAACTGAAAATAAAAATGGTGCAGATTTCGATTGGCAAACACTGTTGTCTATTTTAAGGCAAATAGCATGTGCTGTTGAATACATCCATGGATTAAAGATGAAGATTAACGATCTTAAGTGTTCCAACATACTAGTGGACAAGGACAAGGTCGTAAAGCTATGTGATTTCGGTTCACTAACTAAGGAAAATGTTCGAGGGACGGTCTACACTCCTGCGTATGCGGCACCGAAAGTGTTAAGATTTTTGGTAAGCTTTTTTATATTTTACAAATATACTTAATATCTGATTCAATAATATGTTAAGACCAAGGCTCTCAAAATCGTGCGCCTGAGAGCGCACCCGGCGCAGCGACAGATAGGTCCAGCGCCCTATGGATGGGTAGTCGCACCTTACCTTCTAAGTTGCAGGTAGTCGCACAAAGCGCAGATGCGCTTTAAAGCGCTCGCTTACTCTGCCTGACAGGGGAGGGCTTATTTCCGGTTTTACTGAGTCCTCTTTCACACGTGCGCTCAAAAAAACCATTAAGAAGCCCTTTTTTTTTACTAAAGCCCATGTTAATAAGGTCAAAACAACTTAACCTACTCTAATTACATGACATAAACCTCCTTACTCTGCTCTGTTCTACTGTACCTGTTCGCTACATCCTCCTTTCCCTCCACATCAATCGCAGAGGCTTGCAGCAGTCCAGCACTCAACGATCAAAGTAAGTTTTCTTCTCCTTCATCTTCCATATTTTTTCTTTTTTCATTTTTCAGCAACTACTTGTTCAATTCTTCTTACATGCTACCAGTATGTTTTTTGTGTATAAATGTGTAAAGTGTAACGTACCCTTGTGAAAAAATACATATATACTGGTTGCGTTTTAGTTCTTACATACTTCATTTTTCATACTTTTTCATTTTTCAGCAGCTACAACTTAAACATGTATACAAATACATGTGAAAAAAATATTCTGGTTGCTCTACTCTGTATTCTGTGAACATGTGTAGGAAACTCTTGCATATATTTTTTTAGTTATATCAATAAACTTCTTGTTCTACAGCTGATTTTGTATGTTTCAGTAAGTAAAGTGTAAGTTGTAACACCTTCTTGTACTCTACAGTATGTTTTTGTTCTAAAGTAATCTTCTTGTTCAATAAACTTATTTCCGTTAATCAGTATGTTTCAGCATGTATGTTTCAGTTAGTCAATTGTTTTTTTTACAGTTAGTATGTTTCAGCATGTTTACTAGTTAGTATGTTTCAGTAAGTTTTTACTTTTTACAGTTACTATGTTTCAGCATGTTTATCAATTAATATGTTTCAAAGTGTTTATCAGTTAGTATGTTTCAGCTAGTATTTTTTTACAGTTAATATGTTTCAGTTAATAAGTTTCAGTTAATAAGTAAACATTTTTTATACACTGCATATATAATATTTGGCTTGTGTAATTTTTACAGGACATGGAAGGTGGAACTTCAGCCACGGATTCTGAAGCTGTTATTAATTTTTCTAGGCATTGCGCCTGGCACAAGTCAGGCTTTTTTGCGCCTTGCGCCTCAGGCGCTGGGATTACCTTGTCGCCTCGAGTGCGCCTAACGTCTTTGACTACCTTGGTTGTTCTTATTCGGCTCTGTTATTGAACTTTAGAATGAAAACAAGTTCTGATATAATTATTTGAATTTTCAGGGGGGGCACTCAGAAAGTAGACATCTTTAGTTATGGAATAGTAGTTCTTCAACTGGTAATGAGAGGACAGTTGATGGATGAAAATGAAAAGTCTGAGCAGCTCATAACAAATGCGAAACTCCAATTGCAAAAAGGATATGTGGTTCATAAAAGGATATTGGAAAACGGTGAGTGCTCAGCGATTGAGGCCACAAAAATCACTACTATAGCTTTGGAATGTGTTGATTAAGTGGCAAACAGACGGCCAACAATGGCCACAGTGATTAAAAGTTTAGAAGAAATCCAGATTGACAACCAGCCCAACAAAGATAAGGAAAAAAGCAGCAAGAAAGAGAGCAAGAAAAAGGGCAAGCTTAAAAGGTTACTACTTACAGTCAATAGTTACTCATATGTGGCAAAACTATTATTCCTCATTCTAATCGTTGTCTTTCAATTATTTGAATTTCATTGCTTACACATAATTAGCGTGATTCATTATACTTTTCTGTTTCTTAAACTCTAGATGAGGAGATGGTCAATTTTGCAAAGTCTTGATGGGATTCAAGACAATTGAAGAAAGCAAGATTGAAGCTTTATCTTGTGAAGAGGCAGCACTCAAAGCTCTTCTTTCTGCTCCCTCATGGACAATAGAGAGAGGAGTGACAAACTTCCAAACTTCCAGATTAAGATTGACGCATACTATTCCTATCGTTACTCTCTAGACATCCCAGCTAGAAGGCTATTCCATCTTTGAGTAGCTGGGATATACCCTCCACGGATATACCTTCCCAGCTAGAAGGCTATTCCATCTTTGAGTAGCTGGGATATACCTTCCACGGATATACCTTCTCGTAGGGATGTCTAGAGAGTAACGATAGGAATAGTGTGCGTCAATCTCAACCTGGAAGTCTGGAAGTTTGTCACTCCTCTCTCTATTGCCCATGAGGCAGCAGAAAGAAGAGCTTTGAGTGCTGCCTCTTCACAAGATAAAACTTCAATCTTGCTTTCTTCAATTGTCTTGAATCCCATCAAGACTTTGCAAAACTTGACCATCTCCTCATCTAGAGTTTAAGAAACAGAAAAGTATAATGAATCACACTAATTATGTGTAAACAATAAAATTCAAATAATTGAAAGACAACGATTAGAATGAGGAATAGTAGTTTTGCCACATATGAGTAACTATTGACCGTAAGTAGTAACCTTTTAAGTTTGCCCTTTTTCTTGCTCTCTTTCTTGCTGCTTTTTTCCTTATCTTTGTTGGGCTGGTTGTCAATCTGGATTTCTTCTAAACTTTTAATCACTGTGGACATTGTTGGCCGTCTGTTTGCCACTGAATCAACACATTCCAGAGTTATAGTAGTGATTTTTGTGGACTCAATCGCTGAGCACTCACCCTTTTCCAATATCCCTTTATGAACCACATATCCTTTTTGCAATTGGAGTTTCGCATTTGTTATGAGCTGCTCAGACTTTTCATTTTCATCCATCAACTGTCCTCTCATTACCAGTTGAAGAACTACTATTCCATAACTAAAGATGTCTACTTTCTGAGTGCCCCCCCTGAAAATTCAAATAATTATATCAGAACTTGTTTTCATTCTAAAGTTCAATAACAGAGCCGAACAAGAACAACCAAGTCTTAACCAAGGTAGTCAAAGGCGTTAGGCGCACTCAAGGCGACAAGGTAATCCCAGCGCCTGAGGCGCAAAAAAGCCTGACTCGTGTCAGGTGCAATGCCTAGAAAAATTAATAGCAGCTTCAGAAGCTGTGGCTGAAGTTCCACCTTCCATGTCCTGTAAAAATTACACAAGCCAGATATTATATATGCATTATATAAAAATGTTTACTTATTAACTGAAACATACTAACTGTAAAAAAATACTAGTTGAAACATACTAACTGATAAACATGCTGAAACATATTAATTGATAAACATGCTGAAACATAGTAACTGTAAAAAGTAAAAACTTACTGAAACATACTACCTAATAAACATGCTGAAACATACTAACTGTAAAAAAATAAGTGACTAACTGAAACATACATGCTGAAACATACTGATTAACGGAAATAAGTTTATTGAGCAAGAACAATAAGTTTACTTTAGAACAAAAACATACTGTAGAGTACAAGAAAGTGTTACTTTACTTACTGAAACATACAAAATAAGTTGTAGAACAAGAAGTTTATTGATTAACTAAAAAAATATATGCAAGAGTTTGCTACACATGTTTACAGAATACAGAGTAGAGCAACCAGAATATTTTTTTCACATGTATTTGTATACATGTTTAAGTTGTAGCTGCTGAAAAATGAAAAGGTATGAAAAATGAAGAAGTGTGTAAGAACTAAGAAGCAACCAGTATATATGTATTTTTTCACAAGAAGGGTACGTTAGACTTTACACATATATACACAAAAAACATACTGGTAGCATGTAAGAAGAACTGAACAAGTAGCTGCTGAAAAATGAAAAAAGAAAAAATATGGAAGATGAAGGAGAAGAAAACTTACTTTGATCGTTGAGTGCTGGACTGCTGCAAGCCTCTGCGGTTGATGTGGAGGGAAAGGAGGATGTAGCGAACAGGTACAGTAGAACAGAGCAGAGCAAGGAGGTTTACGTTATGTGTTTAGAGTAGGTTAAGTTGTTTGACCTTATTAACATGGGTTTTAGTAATAAAAAAGGGGGGGGCTTCTTAATGGTTTTTTTTAGCGCACGTGTGAAAGGTGACTCAGTAAAACCGGAAATAGGCCCTCCCCTGTCAGGCAGAGTAAGCGAGCGCTTTAAAGTGCATTTGCGCTTTCTGGTTGCTTCTGTGACTCAAAGGTGGACACGTTATTTTAATGAATAGCAGCACTGGCAGTGTGATCAAATCTTAGCCGGTGCATCCAGAGAAGGATATTGAAAAGAAAGATCAAACAGAACAATCTGGTCATAAGGAACAAAACAATTACAAAGATCCCAACAATCAGTGTATTTTCCGGGCAATGAAGCTCATGGTCCCGCAACCAGTGATGCACCCGGAAGGACGAGGCGCAAGAATGAAGACAATGGTCGGGGTTGTTTCCTATCACCCACCTTGAGGACAGGGTGGTTGTCCCAAGGTGTGATGAAGATGCTCGTAGGCAAATAATTGTTTTCAGTTAGTCTAAATTGGGTTTTCAGTGGAGGATGATTAAGACCTCAACAATGCAGCAGAATTTTAGTATTATATTGATGAAAATTTCAAAAGGTAGTAACCTATTACAATGGTAGAAACGAGAGATTAACGTAAGCTGAAAATAACAGGTTTGAGACTCTTTGGTAGGCCTCACTATCCCAGTCTAATCCCAAACTGAATTCCAGCCTCCTATCCTCCTTCCCATTCTTATATAAAACAAAAGGGCCAATCCAATCAAGACTTACATGGCCCCGAACTGATACTATTATACAATCACAATTACTTATTACTCCGTATAATTCTGTTGTTGTTATTGTTCCTCATGACTAGATTGTTCTGTTTGATCTTTCCTTTCAATATCCTTCTCTAGATGCACTGGCTGAGATTTGATCACAAAGTCAGTGCTGCTATTCATTAAAATAACGTGTCCACCTCTGGTTAAGCACAAAGCAAGTTCTTCCCCACTTCCGTATGAGTTTCCGCCTTCCCGTCTCACGGTGCTTTGATGAAGATGCATCAACTAGCCTCTCCCACGTATATCTTTTCACTAGGACATATTTGTTTCTAAATCTTTCAGCAACTATCTTGATTCTTTCAGAATATATGGAAAGTAAGTTTTCTTTATATAATGCATATATAATATCTGGCTTGTGTAATTTTTACAGGAATGGAAGGTGGAACTTCAGCCACAGCTTCTCAAGCTGCTATTAATTTTTCTAGGCATTGCGCCTAACACGAGTCAGGCTTTTTTGCGCCTTGCGCCTCAGGCGCTGGGATTACCTTGTCGGCTTGAGTGCGCGTAACGCCTTTGACTACCTTGGTTAAGACTTGGTTGGTCTTGTTTGACTCTGTTATTGAACTTTAAAATGAAAACAAGTTCTGATATAATTATTTGAATTTTCAGGGGGGGCCACTCAGAAAGTAGACATCTTTAATTATGGAATAGTAGTTCTGCAACTGGTAATGAGAGGACAGTTGATGGATGAAAATGAAAAGTCTGAGCAGCTCATAACAAATGCGAAACTCCAATTGCAAAAAGGATATGTGGTTCATAAAGGGATATTGGAAAAGGGTGAGTGCTCAGCGATTGAGGCCACAAAAATCACTATTATAGCTCTAAAATGTGTTGATTCAGTGGCAAACAGACGGCCAACAATGGCCACAGTGATTAAAAGTTTAGAAGAAATCCAGATTGACAACCAGCCCAACAAAGATAAGGAAAAAAGCAGCAAGAAAGAGAGCAAGAAAAAGGGCAAGCTTAAAAGGTTACTACTTACAGTCAATAGTTACTCATATGTGGCAAAACTATTATTCCTCATTCTAATCGTTGTCTTTCAATTATTTGAATTTCATTGCTTACACATAATTAGCGTGATTCATTATACTTTTCTGTTTCTTAAACTCTAGATGAGGAGATGGTCAATTTTGCAAAGTCTTGATGGGATTCAAGACAATTGAAGAAAGCAAGATTGAAGCTTTATCTTGTGAAGAGGCAGCACTCAAAGCTCTTCTTTCTGCTCCCTCATGGACAATAGAGAGAGGAGTGACAAACTTCCAAACTTCCAGATTAAGATTGACGCATACTATTCCTATCGTTACTCTCTAGACATCCCAGCTAGAAGGCTATTCCATCTTTGAGTAGCTGGGATATACCCTCCACGGATATACCTTCCCAGCTAGAAGGCTATTCCATCTTTGAGTAGCTGGGATATACCTTCCACGGATATACCTTCTCGTAGGGATGTCTAGAGAGTAACGATAGGAATAGTGTGCGTCAATCTCAACCTGGAAGTCTGGAAGTTTGTCACTCCTCTCTCTATTGCCCATGAGGCAGCAGAAAGAAGAGCTTTGAGTGCTGCCTCTTCACAAGATAAAACTTCAATCTTGCTTTCTTCAATTGTCTTGAATCCCATCAAGACTTTGCAAAACTTGACCATCTCCTCATCTAGAGTTTAAGAAACAGAAAAGTATAATGAATCACACTAATTATGTGTAAACAATAAAATTCAAATAATTGAAAGACAACGATTAGAATGAGGAATAGTAGTTTTGCCACATATGAGTAACTATTGACCGTAAGTAGTAACCTTTTAAGTTTGCCCTTTTTCTTGCTCTCTTTCTTGCTGCTTTTTTCCTTATCTTTGTTGGGCTGGTTGTCAATCTGGATTTCTTCTAAACTTTTAATCACTGTGGACATTGTTGGCCGTCTGTTTGCCACTGAATCAACACATTCCAGAGTTATAGTAGTGATTTTTGTGGACTCAATCGCTGAGCACTCACCCTTTTCCAATATCCCTTTATGAACCACATATCCTTTTTGCAATTGGAGTTTCGCATTTGTTATGAGCTGCTCAGACTTTTCATTTTCATCCATCAACTGTCCTCTCATTACCAGTTGAAGAACTACTATTCCATAACTAAAGATGTCTACTTTCTGAGTGCCCCCCCTGAAAATTCAAATAATTATATCAGAACTTGTTTTCATTCTAAAGTTCAATAACAGAGCCGAACAAGAACAACCAAGTCTTAACCAAGGTAGTCAAAGGCGTTAGGCGCACTCAAGGCGACAAGGTAATCCCAGCGCCTGAGGCGCAAAAAAGCCTGACTCGTGTCAGGTGCAATGCCTAGAAAAATTAATAGCAGCTTCAGAAGCTGTGGCTGAAGTTCCACCTTCCATGTCCTGTAAAAATTACACAAGCCAGATATTATATATGCATTATATAAAAATGTTTACTTATTAACTGAAACATACTAACTGTAAAAAAATACTAGTTGAAACATACTAACTGATAAACATGCTGAAACATATTAATTGATAAACATGCTGAAACATAGTAACTGTAAAAAGTAAAAACTTACTGAAACATACTACCTAATAAACATGCTGAAACATACTAACTGTAAAAAAATAAGTGACTAACTGAAACATACATGCTGAAACATACTGATTAACGGAAATAAGTTTATTGAGCAAGAACAATAAGTTTACTTTAGAACAAAAACATACTGTAGAGTACAAGAAAGTGTTACTTTACTTACTGAAACATACAAAATAAGTTGTAGAACAAGAAGTTTATTGATTAACTAAAAAAATATATGCAAGAGTTTGCTACACATGTTTACAGAATACAGAGTAGAGCAACCAGAATATTTTTTTCACATGTATTTGTATACATGTTTAAGTTGTAGCTGCTGAAAAATGAAAAGGTATGAAAAATGAAGAAGTGTGTAAGAACTAAGAAGCAACCAGTATATATGTATTTTTTCACAAGAAGGGTACGTTAGACTTTACACATATATACACAAAAAACATACTGGTAGCATGTAAGAAGAACTGAACAAGTAGCTGCTGAAAAATGAAAAAAGAAAAAATATGGAAGATGAAGGAGAAGAAAACTTACTTTGATCGTTGAGTGCTGGACTGCTGCAAGCCTCTGCGGTTGATGTGGAGGGAAAGGAGGATGTAGCGAACAGGTACAGTAGAACAGAGCAGAGCAAGGAGGTTTACGTTATGTGTTTAGAGTAGGTTAAGTTGTTTGACCTTATTAACATGGGTTTTAGTAATAAAAAAGGGGGGGGCTTCTTAATGGTTTTTTTTAGCGCACGTGTGAAAGGTGACTCAGTAAAACCGGAAATAGGCCCTCCCCTGTCAGGCAGAGTAAGCGAGCGCTTTAAAGTGCATTTGCGCTTTCTGGTTGCTTCTGTGACTCAAAGGTGGACACGTTATTTTAATGAATAGCAGCACTGGCAGTGTGATCAAATCTTAGCCGGTGCATCCAGAGAAGGATATTGAAAAGAAAGATCAAACAGAACAATCTGGTCATAAGGAACAAAACAATTACAAAGATCCCAACAATCAGTGTATTTTCCGGGCAATGAAGCTCATGGTCCCGCAACCAGTGATGCACCCGGAAGGACGAGGCGCAAGAATGAAGACAATGGTCGGGGTTGTTTCCTATCACCCACCTTGAGGACAGGGTGGTTGTCCCAAGGTGTGATGAAGATGCTCGTAGGCAAATAATTGTTTTCAGTTAGTCTAAATTGGGTTTTCAGTGGAGGATGATTAAGACCTCAACAATGCAGCAGAATTTTAGTATTATATTGATGAAAATTTCAAAAGGTAGTAACCTATTACAATGGTAGAAACGAGAGATTAACGTAAGCTGAAAATAACAGGTTTGAGACTCTTTGGTAGGCCTCACTATCCCAGTCTAATCCCAAACTGAATTCCAGCCTCCTATCCTCCTTCCCATTCTTATATAAAACAAAAGGGCCAATCCAATCAAGACTTACATGGCCCCGAACTGATACTATTATACAATCACAATTACTTATTACTCCGTATAATTCTGTTGTTGTTATTGTTCCTCATGACTAGATTGTTCTGTTTGATCTTTCCTTTCAATATCCTTCTCTAGATGCACTGGCTGAGATTTGATCACAAAGTCAGTGCTGCTATTCATTAAAATAACGTGTCCACCTCTGGTTAAGCACAAAGCAAGTTCTTCCCCACTTCCGTATGAGTTTCCGCCTTCCCGTCTCACGGTGCTTTGATGAAGATGCATCAACTAGCCTCTCCCACGTATATCTTTTCACTAGGACATATTTGTTTCTAAATCTTTCAGCAACTATCTTGATTCTTTCAGAATATATGGAAAGTAAGTTTTCTTTATATAATGCATATATAATATCTGGCTTGTGTAATTTTTACAGGAATGGAAGGTGGAACTTCAGCCACAGCTTCTCAAGCTGCTATTAATTTTTCTAGGCATTGCGCCTAACACGAGTCAGGCTTTTTTGCGCCTTGCGCCTCAGGCGCTGGGATTACCTTGTCGGCTTGAGTGCGCGTAACGCCTTTGACTACCTTGGTTAAGACTTGGTTGGTCTTGTTTGACTCTGTTATTGAACTTTAAAATGAAAACAAGTTCTGATATAATTATTTGAATTTTCAGGGGGGGCCACTCAGAAAGTAGACATCTTTAATTATGGAATAGTAGTTCTGCAACTGGTAATGAGAGGACAGTTGATGGATGAAAATGAAAAGTCTGAGCAGCTCATAACAAATGCGAAACTCCAATTGCAAAAAGGATATGTGGTTCATAAAGGGATATTGGAAAAGGGTGAGTGCTCAGCGATTGAGGCCACAAAAATCACTATTATAGCTCTAAAATGTGTTGATTCAGTGGCAAACAGACGGCCAACAATGGCCACAGTGATTAAAAGTTTAGAAGAAATCCAGATTGACAACCAGCCCAACAAAGATAAGGAAAAAAGCAGCAAGAAAGAGAGCAAGAAAAAGGGCAAGCTTAAAAGATTACTACTTACGGTCAATAGTTACTCATATGTGGCAAAACTACTATTCCTCATTCTAATCGTTGTCTTTCAATTATTTGAATTTTATTGTTTACACATAATTAGCGTGATTCATTATACTTTTCTGTTTCTTAAACTCTAGATGAGGAGATGGTCAAGTTTTGCAAAGTCTTGATGGAATTCAAGACAATTGAAGAAAGCAAGATTGAAGTTTTATCTTGTGAAGAGGCAGCACTCAAAGCTCTTCTTTCTGCTGCCTCATGGGCAATAGAGAGGAGTGACAAACTTCCAAACTTCCAGCTAGAAATAAAACAAAGTAGTTTTAAGAATCACATTTAAACACCCCAAAATGTGTAAATATGGTAGGTTGGAGTACTTAGCTTTTTGGAGTGGGCTGAACTCAAGTGTGTTGTCTTAATTGAGAATCAGCTTTTAACCCGGTCTACCAAATGCTCCCATTAGCTTTCACGGCTGGCAAGTGGTTAGTGACTAGTGACCAAGAGGGTAGCTTGTCCCCTTCCTCTTTTAGGAAACTTGGCTGCCGCTACCAACCTGTGAGGACGGCCCTAGCACGGCGGCAGGCGGAGACCAACCAGCTCTGGAAGGACACTTCGTCGACGAACAGCGGGGAACTGTGTCTGCCATGTCTCCCCCTGGCTGCGTAGGAGTCCGTGGAGCTCAAACACAACTATGAAAGTTCTCAACCGCAATTTATGGCGGGCCTCCAGTCCTCCCGGCCGCGGTTTTTCAAGAGTCAAGGTCGCAGATTTGCAGGTTGAGGAGACAACCAGGAGAGAGAGCAGTACTGCCTGTTGCTTGAGAACCTGGTGATGGCGCTGGAAATTCAACGAAGGGGACAAGGGGTCGCAGAGTATAAAGGCAGCGTTGAAGATGATGGTCAAGAAGAACGGACTCGAGGGACGAGCTGTGGGCAGCGGTTCTGCTTTGCAGGTGACAGAGCTAGCTGCCGGTGGGATTCTGGCGAGATCTGCAGCGAGCTAGGCGAGGCAACTGTTCCCGGCGGTTGGGTGATGATATCTCCGGCTGGGATCTGGAAGTCCAGATCTCAAATTCGAGATCCGTTCTTATGGACTTTTTTCCTTTTTGAATTTTCCAGAACCCTTCCTTGATTGAATTTCTGTTATTGTGTTTAATAGGGTTGCAAACGAGCCAAGCCGTTCGCGAGCCGCTCGTGGATCGCTCGGGAAAAGCTCGACTTGAGTTCGGCCATATTCAAGTTCGGGTCAAGTTCGGCTCGACTCGTATACTAAACAATCTCGAGTCAAGCCTCTTTATTTTAGGCTCGTGCCTCGCGAGCCGGTTCGCGAGTCTTGATGTTGTATATAATTATATATATATATATATATATAATATTATTGGAATAGTTATTCTAATTTAGGATTACTCTATTCTTAATACTTATTACTACGTATATTATAATAGAAATAATTTAATGAAAAATTATTTATGATTATAATCATTATTTATAATAATTATAATATATAATACGAAGTGAGTATTAGTTTTTTGTTAGTTCACTATGAGTGACAATAAAACAAATTGACATCAAAATTTTCACAAATGTGTTGGTTGGCTGGGTGGACATTCCCTTGCATGCTTCATATGCCACCCGAGTTCGAATCCCCTCCGTGGCAAACTTTTGTGTACTCCTACTCCATCTGTTTTTAAGTTTCTAATCTCAAAACTTCCCACACCGGAAAGTGAGGAAGCATTTTCTCTAGCAGCCAGCTATAAACCACCTCATATCCAAGGGAACAATTGAGCACCAAGCAAGTCGCACATCATCAAATTTTGATGAAATGGCTAAGCTTTCGAGTCAATCTCGAGCGGCTCGCGAGCTCAACTGAAGCTTTCGAGTCGAACTCGAGTTTCAATATTTTAAGCTCGATCGAGCTCGAGCCGAACGCGAGCATATAAAATATTTTCGAGATCGAGTTCGAGCATATGTGAGTTCGGGCTCGGCTCGGCTCGTTTACACCCCTAGTGTTTAATGGGTAATTGTTACCCATTAAATAATTTCTGGAGAGATTTGAGGCAAGAAATGGAGGAGTGAATATATAATGAGTGAAATAGTTTGATTAGGGTTTAATATATCAACCATTCTTGGTGTACACCTTTTTATACCCATCAGTACACGCATGTGTCTGTGAGAGTTTTTTTTTGTCTGTGAAGCGCGGTCCACAAACATAAGTTGGTTTGTTTTGTCTGTGGAAAATTTCACAGACAAAACAAACCAGCTTTTGTCTGTGGACCGCACTTCACAGACAAAAAAAAACTCTCACAGACACATGCGTGTACTGATGGGTACAAAAACGTGTACAAAAGGAATTTTTGTTAATATATATAGAGAAATAACGGGTCGCACCGCTAATATGGACTTGATAGATTTAACTACATAAAAGGTGATAGATTATTTAATCTAGAGAGAAGGGAGAGCTAGAGAGATAAAGTGATATGTATAATGAATTCCAATCAACCATTCAACCATCCTTTACATGGCTCCCATAAGGAGTATTTATAGGAGAAAAGAGGGCTGGGCTTCCAGGCTTGGGCCTGGCTGGCCCAGTTACAATAAAAGGCCAATAAATGGCTAATAAATGGTATCTAATCTATTCTAATGGATATACATGAATAAAATAGAGTGTACAATGAGATCAATGCTATCTACTGAGCGTATGTGGGCCGCTGTCCGGGCCCAATAGTCGTGAAACCCGGGGGTCCGAGTCTATATACTCTATCAGGAGTCCCCCACTCTCTGAGTCGAGAGTACTCGAGGCGAAAGAGAGTAGAACTGTGTGCTGATCTGTCGTCGTCCGGTGAGTAAACTGCTGTCATCGTCGAAGCACCTCGCCCGGATTCCCAAGCCGATGATCCGATCCCACTGGTGAGCCCTGGCTGAGGCAACCCTGTGGGAAAATCCTCAGCCGAAGGTCGCAGGCCAGAGACCATCACCACCGATCCTGAGGCCGGGGAGCTATGTATATGTACTGGCCGATGTGGCTGCTGAGTATGTATGTGATATGATGATGTCGTCGGTGCGAGTGGCAATCCTTGCAAAAATTTTGAATTTCTGCTTCTTTGGTAGCGAAGGCGCTAAGTCCCCCGCTCTCCCAGTCCCCCACTCCTTGAGGCGAGTGTAACGAGGTGAAGAGGAGTAGGGTAATGCATGTCTGATGATGTCTGCAACAGGGGGCCGAGGGTTGACACCTTTTGATCCACAATGGGGCGATGCCTCGTTAAAAACCTCATTAGGAAAAACCCTGTGGGAAAAAATCCTAATGAGGGAAAAAGAGTGCATCGGATGCCCCCAGAACGAAGCAAAAGGTGCGAGCCCTTCGGCCTAGAGGTGGGGCTGCAGCGGTGTCCGTCTGCCGAGGGGATGGCCGAGGCCGATCCATAGATGTGGGTAGCTCGTCATGATCAGTAGTCCTAGTCATCAAATAAAGATGACTAAGGGATGGGTCGAGCGACCGTCCATAATATGATGTCTGGTTCATCAAATAAAGATGACCAGAATATGAGGCCGATGGGCCGATGTGAGCTCCACGTCATCAAATAAAGATGACTGGGAGTAGTGGCCGAGAGGCATATATGAGAGCTCCACGTCGTCAAATAAAGACGAAGGGGCGATGTGTGGCCGAGGGGCCTGGATAAGAGCTCCACATCGTCAAATAAAGACGACGGGGCGATGTATGGCCGAGGGGCCTGCATTAGAGCTCCACGTCGTCAAATAAAGACAACGGGGCGAGATATGGCTCAGAGGCCTATAGATGAGTTCCTCGTCATCAAATAAAGATGACAGAACGATATGTGGCCGATGGGCCTGTAGTTGAGCTCTTCGTCATCAAACAAAGATGACAGAATAATATATGGCCGATGGGCCTGTAGATGAGCTCTTCGTCATCAAATAAAGATGACAGAGCGGTATATGGCCGATGGGCCTGTAGATGAGCTCTTCGTCATCAGATAAAGATGACAGAGCGGTATATGGCCGAGGGGCCTGTAGATGAGCTCTTCGTCATCAAATAAAGACGACAGAGCGGTATATGACCGAGGGGCCTATAGATGAGCTTCTCGTTATCAAATAAAGATGACGGAGCAAGATATATGGCCGATGGGCCTGTATGAGAGCCCTTCGTCATCAAATAAAGATGCTAGAGCAAGATATGGCCGAGGGGCCTATAGATGAGATCTGAGATCCTTTAGTCTCTGAGCCGGAGACCGCAAGATGTTTGCTAGATCCGAACATGAGGACGAGGCGTTAGACGCCTGTCTGAATATGAGGATGAGGCGCTGGGCGCCTGTCTGAATATGAGGACGAGGCGTTGGACGCCCGTGTGAATGTGAGGACGAGGCGTTGGACGTCTGTCTGAATATATGAGGACGAGGCGTTGGACGCCTGTCTGAATATGAGGACGGGGCGTGGGACGCCTGTCTGATGATACAATGACGAGGCAATGCTGAGCCGATCATCATATAGAGGCGACGGTCGCCATCCAGGAGGGGATGGCGAGCCCGATCGCTAACCGAAGACATTCGGCAATGAGAGGCCGGTCTCGGAAATAGGACATCACATCGTGGCCTAGGGGCCGATCGTGATGTGAGGACGGCCGTGATAAGGAGCCGATCCAAAATAACAATGACGAGGCGATGATAAGCCGGTCGCCATGTAGGGGCGATAGTCACCATCCAGGAAGGGATGGCGAGCCTGATCGCTAGCTCAATACACTCGGCGCTGATGAAGCCGGTGTTGAGATAGATCATCACGCCGAGGCCGGGGCGGCGGTCGTGATATAAGGATGGCGATAATGGGTAGCCGATCCGAATAATGATGACGAGGCAGAGATGAGCCGGTCGTCATGTAGAGGCGACGGTCACCATCCAGGAAGGGATGGGGAGCCCGATCGCTAGCTCAACACACTTGGCGCTGATAAAGCCGGTGTTGAGATAGGGCATCACGTCGAGGCCGGGGGGGCCGATCGTGATATAAGGATGGCGATGATGATGAGCCGATCCGAATAATGGTGACGAGGCGATGATGAGCCGATCGTCATATAAAGGCGACGGTCACCATCCAGGAAGGGATGATGAGCCCTGTCGCTAGCTCAGGACACTTGGCGATGAGAAGCCGGTCTCTGAGAAGAAATAATCACACCAAGGCTGGGAGGCCGGTCGTGATGTGCGGATGGCGATGATGATGAGCCGATCCGAATAATGATGATGACGAGGCGGAGATGAACCGATCGTCACGTAGAGGCGACGGTTGCTATCCCGGAAGGGAATAGCAAGCCCAGTCGCTAGCTCAGGACACTTGGCGATAAGGAGCCGGTCTCTGAGGAGAAATAATCACGCCAAGGCTGGGAGGCCGGTCGTGATGTGCGGATGGCGATGATGATGAGCCGATCCGAATAATGATGACGAGGCGGAGATGATCCGATCGTCATGTAGAGGCAACGGTCGCCATCCAGGAAGGGACGGCGAGCCCGATTGCCAACTCAAGACACTTGGCGATGAGAAGCCGGTCTTGAGAAGAAATAATCACGCCAAGGCCGGGAGGCCGGTCGTGATGTGCGGATGGCGATGATGATGAGCCGATCCGAATAATGATGACGAGGCGATGATGAGGCCGATCGTCACATAGAGGCGACGGTTGCTATCCTGGAAGGGAATAGCAAGCCCGGTCGCTAGCTCAAGACACTCGGCGATGAGAAGCCGGTCTCGAGATAAAGCATCACGCTGAGGCGGGGGGCCCGGTGGTGATGAGCAGATGGCGATGATGAGCCGATCCGAATAATGATGACGAGGCGGTGATGAAGCCGATCGTCATATAGAGGCAACGGTCACCATCCAGGAAGGGACGGCGAGCCCGATTGCCAACTCAAGACACTTGGCAATGAGAAGCCGGTCTTGAGGAGAAATAATCACGCCAAGGCTGGGAGGCCGGTCGTGATGTGCGGATGGCGATGAGGAGCCGATCCGGATAATGATGACGAGGCGATGATGAAGCCGATCGTCATGTAGAAGCGACAGTCGCCATCCATGAGGGGAATGGCGAGCCCGGTCGCTAGCTCAAGACACTTGGCGCTGGGGAGGCCGGTCTTGAGATAAAGCATCACGCCGAGGCCGGGGGGCCCGGTGGTGATGAGCGGATGGCGATGATGATGAGCCGATCCGGATAATGATGACGAGGCAATGATGAAGCTGATCGTCATATAGAGGCGACGGTTGCTATCCCGGAAGGGAATAGCTAGCTCGGTCGCTAGCTCAAGACACTTGGCACTGGGGAGGCCGGTCTTGAGATAAAGCATCACGCCGAGGCCGGGGGGCCGGTGGTGATGAACGGATGGCGATGATGATGAGCCGATCCGGATAATGATGACGAGGCGAAGATGAGCC